AATTTAAATTCTTCTTTACCTAATCTTATTCCTTTTATTTCTTTCTCTTGTCTAATGGCTGTAGCTAATGATTCCAGCACTATATTGAATAGGAGTGGTGATAGAGGACATCCTTGTCTTGTACCAGATCTAAGAGTAATACTTAAGTTCTTTAATTCCTTCAAATAAAGAAATTTTGTACCTGGCCAAAAAAAAAAAAGAAGAAAAAATACCAGACACCAGAACACTGAGGGAAGGTTTCCTTTGGCTCACCATTTCAAGGGATTCAGTCCATAGCTAGCTGTCTCCAAAACAAGAAACATCATGGCAGAAGAGCTCAGCAATGCAAAGCTGCTTGCTTCATAGTGACTGGGAAGACTAGCAGAAGAGCAGCACCAGGAAGGAAGGAACAAGTGGCCATACATAGGATGCCAAAGCTGTGCTTTCATCACCCACACAGATATGCCCACTGGGTGCTATGCCAACCTTCCAGGGAACCCAAAGCCAATCAAGTTAGGACTCTGCCCTAATTACCACATCATGAGAGTGATAGGACTTACTCCAAAGTGTGTAGTGAGAATTAAATAGACTAATGCTTGTAAAAACCTAGAAGAAATACCCTGTTCTTTACACATACTCAATGTATGTTTTCATATCCAAAATATTTATTGCAATTTTCAAGGTAAAGTGCAGGAGCTAGATATTGACAATATGGATTTACATAAGATTTCTACTGGTTCTCAAAAATAATGTGAGCTGCTGAAAAGAATTTTTTAAATGAGTCAGAATGTGTTTTTAAACAAATTTTTAATTTATCTTACATGCTATTTGTAACAGCACTATAAATAGAACAAAAAATAAAATTATAAAGATACAATATAGTTTACTGCCATATAAATGAGTGCAAACAAAATTAGTTTGTAGACACAAGCTCACCAAGAAAACCTGTGGCCTGTAACAGTAAAGGCGTAAAGATGGGAGGTTTGGATAGCCACAAAAGGAGAGAGATACACAAAATTGTTTTGAGCAATTTTTCTTGTTCCTAAAAAGAATTAATCATACTCAGGATGAATTTATTATTTTATCAATATCCACCCAATGAATTTTCCAGTGCATGCTTGTTTATTGATATTTGTTCTTTTGATATACATTTTTCAAATACTACTCTTAGGCCCAGGCAAAGGAATGCAATGACATACATCAAAGTGAGAAAGACAAAATCACTTATTTCTTAAAAGGAAAATGGTATATACTGAGTGATCTATGTTATATTTAGAGTTGTATTTATGAGAAGGAAACAAACCACTGAAACGTTTTCTACTCAGATGAAGCATATGTACACACACACACACACACACACACACACACACACGCAAACAACCACCACAGAGCAAGGATCATACATCAATTTGGAAAATAATTTAATGCCAAAAAAGGTTATTTCACCAATACCTTCTCTTCTGTGTCTAAAGACAGAAAGCAACTCATATAGCTGGAAAATATTTCAGTTAACCCTGAATATTTCAACCTTCGCACTCAAGTTGAAGAATGTCAGCCAACTAGACCTGCCAGTCCTGTGAAAGCCACGAATGCTGATTCAGATGACATCCTCAGTTTCTCCCTTGCACTCCTCTGCCTCTAGGGTAAATTTCAAGGGCCTGCAAGACTCTTCCACCACCAGCATATCAGCTTCCAGCCTCCGGTGGTCCTTAGTCTCCTTGAGGATGGAATGCGGCAGGCAGTCCTGTTCTGAATTACTCCAGACACAGCCAGGCAAAGTCACATGGCTGTCTGGCAGTCTACTGGCAGTCTTGGGCTTGCCAGAGATGAGGACCATCCGAGTGCTGGCCGCCATGTGTGACTGGCTGCTGGTACTATGTGTCACAGTGGTGAACACTGAGCCATATCTGTGGCTGCCACATGGTGCTGTCCTTTTCCAGTCAATGGACAGATTCCACCTACTCCACATCTTCTTCACCTCAGCCTGAACCTAAACCACCAGAAACATGTGTGTCAGAAACATAGCAAAAGAGACCTTGCAATCTTGTCTCAAGGATGTCTAAAAGAGTAATATTTACTGATTGAGATTCCTTATGTCCCTAGAACTATACAGATACATTCCCTCTCCTCCTCAAAGAACCTTCCAGGCCAGTGTTACTTTTGGAGATAAGCACATATAAGTCAAGAGAGTCAAAGGGCGTTGTCCAAGACTAGTGTTTAAAGGGAGTTGAACAAGAAAAAAATGTCATAGGACTATCTTGCTTCAATGCTGTATATGGTTAGACTTCTAAATTTCTGTGTAAAAATATGTAATTGTTTATTTCTATTTTTTCTTTTTTCTTTTGTCTTTTTTTTCACATTCTGTAGGGATTTAAAGTTTAACATATCAATACGTGATGGAAAATAGCTGTTCCATGCTATGTCTAAGATGTTTGACATTCAGACATATAGTGAGGTTAAGCTCAACTGCCTGTTATAGGGTAATAATACCATTAAGCTTCTCTTCTGGAGGATTAACAACTTAAGTTTGCAGACCAAACGTTAGAGAAAAAGAAGGGCTACAAGGATAGCCAACATTTTGGCCCTAGCCTTTCAAGGTCAGTGAGAACTCAGGACATAAGAGAACCTGTACTGTAACATCCTATAACTCAGTTGGTGTGCCAAATTTTCTGATCAAGGAGATTATGAGGCCACAAAGGAAAGTGATCCAGGATGTATAATACGCCTAAGGAGAGTCACATGGAGAGAAAACATTCTCTCAGGCTTTCACAGAGAGAAAATTGGTCAAGCAATGGCCATGACTCATCCACATGGCTGACACTGACAAAGGATCTACAGACTGCAGTACAGGGTTTCAGGGTAAATCCTGAGGGGATTCAACTGACCTTGTCAGATACAAAAGTTAGATTTCTTGTTATATATGTTTGCTTTATCTTGGTTTTAACCATCTAGCAGAAAAGTATAAAAACGAGGTATAAAAAGTAAAGCCACATGTGCTGAGCTATAAAAGGATCAATTCAACAACATCTAACATTGCCATTCAAATACTCTTAGTGCTGGAATTCACCAAATAACCCAATATAGTCATCAAGTCAACAACTTCTGACATTGCCAGTCCTACAGATAACCCGCTACTATTATGGACTACTGGACTATATTGGATTATTTTGCTGAATTCACACACCTACAATATCTAAATGGCAATGGGATACCCATCTCAGACAAAACTAAACAAAAAGGGGGATATAAATGCAGGTCTATTTTATATCTGTGTATGTAGAATAGTTAGGATAAATACACAGCTACTTTCTCTTAATTCAATGAGAAGAAATATTTGTACTAATAGTGTTTGGACAGGATATCATGTCTGCATCTTGTACTATGAATAACTCTATGAAGACAATATGCAATATATTAAATATTTTAACTGTCCTACTAACTTGCTTTAAAACTGTCTCATTGCTATTTGTTTCTCAATAAAATTAATTTTTAAAAAATAAAGAGAAGTTGAAATGTCTGACATGGGGGAGAGAAAAGAGGATTCCAGCTGGAAGAAAAATAAGCGATAAACAGAGGCAGCATGGCCTGCAAAACTCTCTGCACAGGGCAAGTCCATCCAAATCCCTGTAGTAGTGAGACTTGTCCCAACTCTTAAAATAACAGCTGGCCAAATTCACTCTTTTTCCAGCCAACACACCTGATAATAGTTCCCGGACTTCCTTTCTTAGGACATTTACCAAAAAGGGCTCATGTTGCAAAGATGTCTGGCAACTTGGAAGCTTTTCTCTTAAGGCTTGGAGAACCTTTCCTTCAAGTTGTTATCCTCAAGGCAGGTAAGATCTCTGTGAGAGGACAGAAACCTACACTCCACAACTCGACTACGGACACAGCTGGTCCAACCACATCCACATGGACTAGCTCTGTACTTTTTCACCCCCCTGACTCTACTTAGCCCCTAAATACCTCCCATTTCTTTTTCCCATTAAAACACCCCTTTGCCCAAATCAGAATAAGCTCAGTTCTTTCACTTATTCTCAGTAGTCCCTGGATGAAATCTGTGTCCACCAATTCAACTAACAGCTGGATATCTGACAGAAACAAGCTGAGGGATAGCATGGTAGAAATTCAACTTGAATTTTTTTTTATTATTATAAAAACAAAATAAAACAGAATTTCAAAACAAGATAATAAGAGAGTAACATCATATAGTCTTGCTAGTGTGAGAAGCTGAACAAGTAAATAGGATCCAAAATGTACACTAGATATTATGAATTGGGAAGAAACTGTTGGACTTGAAGTTTTATGGCCATACTACAATTTGCAAAGGCATACTGGAAAAGAAATGAGGAAAGAAGGCTGGAAAAATAGAAATGCAGTCACAAAAAAAGGTGCGGTTCTTGTTGCTAGTCCTTCCACTGAAGATTAAATTCTACTGCTATGAGGCTTTGTTTTTAAATTCTGAGATAAGCTGTAGAAACCTGGGGAGCTGATTGAAAAAGCAAACTCCTACCTATTCATCATAGCAAAAATAAACACCTATACCATTCACCTCTCCCACAAAATAAAGTGAAAAAAATGCAGAAGTAGTTCAGAAAATGAACAGGATTCTATTTAATTAAACCTCTTTCTTATAGAGACTGGCATAGCATCTCACATACCCAAACCCAAAGGTTGTCAGAGGTGTCAGGTGATCTACAGCAATAATAAGTATTGAGTTGCAACAAGATGAAAATCTGAGAGAAGGTGGCAACCAATCCAACAGCAGATATCTTACAAGACAAAATTTATCATCCAGTGTGGTCACTTCTCTTTGATCACCCCTAAATGAATTAATATTGTCACATCATCAGCATGTAGCTTAAAAGCTAAAATATTCTAATGGATTTGTTCCAGGGAAATATACTGGAATTTTTAAAATAATTTGAAATGAAACATAAGTTTCAGTATTAACTATAATATGAAGTTCACTGGTGAGGTATCAACTTGTACTTCAATAATTTTTTTCTTTAATATGAGTTTATGCAACTGAGCTGACACTAACAGTGATAAAGCTTTAGCTTGTTTAAATTAATGCTCACTTTCTCAAAATAATTTATGATTAAAATATTTCCCTTTTGGGCTGGGGAAATAGCTCAGAGGCCAAAGTGCCTCCCTAGCAAGTGCAAGGACCCAGGTTCGATTCCTCGTACAACACATCATGCTGGCCCTGCCATGCCAGACACCAAAACCAGGTGTGATGGCACACGCCTGTAATCCCAGCATTGGGGAGGCTGAGACAGGAGGATCACTATGAGTCTGAGCTGCATAGCAAGACCCTGTGCCAAATAAATAAATAAATAAATAAATAAATAAATAAATAGTTTTTAAAAAATATTAAAATCTCTCCCATTCTACTACCCATTCTGTTATAAATCCATGGAGTCCTCTAAAGACATTCAGATCACACTGTGTTGGCCATTTATAATCTAACAACTTTATTTCCCAAAGTCCCTGGTTTGCCAGCTTAATCTTCAATACAATAGCATTAGGAAGTGGAGTCTATGGAGGTATTCAGTTAGAGCACCACCTTAAAGCCTTCATGAATGGATTAATGCTAACTAGAAAAATGCTTGAAGTTGTGAGTTTGGTCTTTTGATTTGCTTCCTAGCATGTGTGAGCATGCTTGCCCTTCCGCCTTCTTCCAGGAAATGGCCAAGTAAGAATGTCTTTGCCAGATGTGGGCTCTATAAGCATAGAATTTCCAGCTTTTAGGATCATAAGAAGTAAACCACCATTCATTCATTATGTATCACCCAGTCTCGGGTATTGTGGTACAAAATTTACTAAAATGCAAGTTTTTTGGAAATTAGACCTGTCCAGTACTGGAGGGCCCCTTCATACCTACCTCTCCATTGCAGTAGCAGTAGACAATAGACACAAAGAAACCCTGCAAAACAGAAAAGATAATGAGCCCACTGATAGTTCATGAAGTTCACAACACTAAAGTACCTCATGTCAGATGCCTAAGTTCAAAAGCTGACTTTTAATTATTCCTTCAGCAAATCATACAGATTATTTTCTCTTATAATATTTCCAAATCTTAAATTTATTGTTTCTTTGAAATCTTTCTTTGATGTCAGCTAAGCCAAAGAATTGAATAAAATGCCCTAAGATAAAAAAAAATGACTTCTATTATTCTGATTTCATTTATATTGCACTCATCAATCACATAATACACATGCACTGCTCGGTAAAATATATTTATGCTCTATAATGCCAGAAATGGTAAAAACACAAAGAATCTTTTCACTCACTCAAAAATCTCTATTGAGGATATGCAGCATTCTAGGAGCTGCTTAGTATGACAGGGGCAAGGAATAAAAACAAAACAACTCTTGAAGAGAAGAGACACGGATCTGACACAAACAGCCACATGAGAAAAACAAGGTGATTGAGGGTTGAGCTGACAAAATTATTGCTGGCAGAACAATGGAGTGGATGTATTAGTCAAAGAACGAAACTGAGCAGGGCTTCTCTGACACGTAAGCTCCTTTGAGTGACAAGAACAGGAAACTGGATTGCTGCATAGTGATTACAAGGAAAGCACTGTAAGCAAATGGCACAGCAAGTGTGATCCCTTGAGAAGCAGAGTGTGGAAGCAACGATGGGTTTGGTGGCTGCAGCATGCATGGCTCCGTGGAATGAAGTGTGACAGCATGCACATCACACAGAGCTGCACATGTCAGACAATGGCATTTGAACTTCTGAGGGCAAGAGGAAGCCTTCGTTTATAAATGATAGGATCAAATGTGTATTTCAAAGATCCTACAGGCAATTTGCATGGACTACACTTAACAGGCAGGAAGCAACAGGATGGAGGCTCATCTATGTGACAGATGACAGCCATCAGAGTTCAAAGAAGATGAAATGTTTGTGGCAACCTCTTCTTTTTTGCCTCCTTTTCCTTTTTTTCTCCTTCTTCCCTTCTTTCATCTTTTATTTCTTTTTCCACACACAAAACCAGAGGTCTTTGCTCTGCGGGAGCTATAGACTTTACAACAATCTGCTGCTTATGTCAGGACCAGGCTTACTGGTATGAGAAACAACTCCAAAACTGCCCTTGGTAGGCTCAAACTTAGCCTGACCACTGCTGGAGGGAACACTGCAAGTACCAGAGAACAGTGCCCTCTCGTGGCCCTTGGACACTGGATGAATCATAGCCAGAGAAAAGGCAGAGAAGGTTGCCAGGGAAACAAACAGCACACAACAGGGCCCAGGGACTAGGCTAGGGGGTTTACCTGAAAGGAGTTGAAAAAGAGTTCACAGTGCATGCGGATCTCCCACCAGAGCCCCGTGAAAGAGTGTGGCTGGCAGATGAACACGATGTAGTGCACGCCAAAGACCAGAATCAAGACAAGCGTGGACTTGGCCAGTTTCCTGAGAGAGAAGAGCAGGCTTTCTATTAATCAACCTAGAATGCTTCCCAATAAAGGCAGCTTGAGGGAAAAGCCTAAGCAGTGCTAACAAGACCTAATTCTCCTCTGTCTCTTTGGACTCTGCTACTTTTGCTAGTTATTGTTTGGGGCGGGGTTCTTTTCTTTTATTTTGTGTTGTATTGTTGGTCCTTTCTCCTCTTTCTATAACTTTTATACTAAATCATGTAGTTGAATTTTTTCAGACAGTTGGAACAAAATGGGAAATAGAAGAAAAACTGCTGCCTGCTGCCAGATGTACCTGGGACTGTCTGTTTTCTGTAATGTCCCTGTCACATCTACCTTCCCTAACCTGTCTGTGATAGGCTCAAGTTTGTGATTCTCCTGCCATATCTTCCTCAAAATGCTGAGATCACAGGCATGTACCAGCATATACTCAGTACAATTAGCACCCTTCTCCTCTCATTTCCAGTCTTCTTGACTATAGGAGACTATTTTTATAAAGCTGTTAATTAGCACTTTTTTCTGTCATCTTTTTTAGATTCTATGTTTGAGAATAAAACAAGCATTTCCTCTACTCACATTAGCTACACTCACCTTCAGAGGCAACATTAGGCTTGTTTTGTTCAGCTAAAATTCATCTACTCTTAGAAATATCTTCCATGTTCATATGAGCTAGCTGTGATCAATTTCTCCTGCTTTTTCATAATATTCTCTGTCAAAGTCTATAGTAAAATCTCTGTAGTTCTATTTCTGCCTAGTTTTGTTTTCCAAGAGTAAGGTGACTGACACTACTTCCCTTAGCTGACTTTTCACATACATTTTCTTGTGCATTTGGAGAAATGCTGTTTTCTAGTAGGATTATGTGTTAATTTTAGGTGTCAACTTGTAAGAATGAAGGAATACCTAGAAAACGGGTAAGGCATTATTTCTGCCTATCCATAAAGATGAAACTTGGGCTACTTGGTATAAAGTGTATGGACTTTGTGGGGAAGTTCTCAGTGGATGGGCACCTCTGCATCGCCTGAGAGACCAGACAAAACAAAAAGGCCAATAAAAGGTGAATTTGTTCTCCTTCTTTTGGATCTGGAACATGCCTCTTCTCCTGCCTTGAACATCAAAATTGCAGGTTCTTGAGCCATTGGATTCTGGGACTCATACCAGCAGCCCCTTGGGTATCTAGGCCTTCATTTCAGACTTAAGTTTATACAGTTTACTTCCTGGTTCTAAAGCTTTTGGACTTTAAATGAGCTACGCTATGGGAGTCCCTGGTACTCCAGCTTGGTGAAGGCTTGTTATAAGACTTCTGAGCCTCCATGAACTCCTCTAGACAGTCCTCTGTCATATAGCTACTTAAATGTATCATCTATCTATCTATCTATCTATCTATCTATCTATCTATCTATCTAGCCAGCTAGCTAGCTATCCTTATCTATAGCTATAGCTATCTGTCTTCTCACTTCTATTTCTCTGGAAAATTCTGACTAATCAGGATGGGCTTACTCCAAATTACCTATAGTGATCTCCCCCTCCCATTATTGATGCTGTTGTTACTCCTTTCCTCCTGAGGATGGACAGGACTAGGGACCTACTTCTGATAAATTGTGACAAAGATAACAGGATGCCACTTCTGTGATTATGCTGCATAAGACTATAACCTCCATCTGCTTAAAAGACTCTCTTATTTGCTTTTTCCAGGAAACAAGCTGCCATGCTGGGAACTGCAGTGAGAGAGGCCAATGTAGTGAGAAAAAGAGGCCTCTGGACCATAGCAAGCAAGCATCTGAATGCTTTGTTGTTTTGTTTTGTGTTGTTTGCCTTTTTTCATCCAAAATAAGCTGTCCATGTGGCTGCTTCTTTCACATATCTCAGATTTCCTTCTCCACCTATAAATTATTTCTTCTCTTAATCTCTCAAACAATCTAACCTTTCAACCTCACTAGCTTTTTTCCAGATGTTTTCTTTTGTTTCTTGGAAACAAGCTGTGTAGGTGAGTAGAGATCACACTGGACAAAGAAAACTGGATTCAGATTCTGCACTCGATATTAACTACCTGTATGATAGTGAATGGATTTTCCCTCTGAAATGATGGAATAAAGCCCAGAAGCCCATAAGAGTTCTGACACTTTGCATTTTTACTAGAAATCATCACTCACATAGAAGGTGGACAATCCTGAAAAAATCATATTGCAGTGCCCGAGTTAGATGGTGACAGCTGGCTGTACCTTCTCTCCACCTCATTCTCCTTTGCCTGACTTATCTCTCAGCAGTGCCAGGACCATCTGCCCCTCTTGGTTCAGTGTCTTCTTTCTGTCCCTCATTGACAGTTTCCCTGTAGCCCCAGGCATTTTTCCCTGTTGTTTGTCATCCCCACCCCTCATACCTTGCATTACTTACAGTGATTCAATTTGAAAATTCTACATTAAGTCCATTTTGTTCAAGATAGCATCCCTGAGAAACAATGAGTCTCTCTGACCTAAATGATTTTCCCCTTTGTCAGACCTTCTTGAAGGTGTCTGTACTCTTCCTGAATCCTGACCTGTAAGCACTATCTTCTCTCAATTATAAAACTGGGCACAACACTTTCAATGCCTTCAAGGCATTTCAATTCAATATAATCTAATACAAGAAATCAACATTAACTACACTTGCAAAACGTTAAAAACATTGTCTAGTTTCACTTTGAAAGGACAATTATATTCTTTTCTTTAAGATGAAGGCCAAATCCCCCTGGAGACTGTTCTCAAACTTGAGCTAACTTTTGATTATAACAGCATTAACAGATCCAATCATGCATTGCTTATATATGACACACCACAGCAACATGCTCATACATGTGAAGGTCTGAGCACACTTTGGTTCCAAACTGACTAAGAAAAGTTGGGTTTGGCAATTAAATTTATTTCTAGTGGATACCCTGTTAGCTTGGTTATCTGGATTGTCTCTCTTTGTCTATGACTCAACTCCTTCATGAACCCATAGAGGTAAAAAAAAAAAAAAATAGTATGTAGAAAACAAATAGTACTTGCATTAATTTTCTATTGCTTTGTAACAAATCAGCTAGGACTTCATTCTCATATGATATGGGGGTTCTCTTATAAACTCACTCAGATTTTTCAAAGACCTTCACTCCTTGTAGTGTAGGACTACTGTTGCTAGTCAGTCAGGGATGACTTGGTTACTATCGGCTATCATGAGGTCCCAACCTTGGGTTCTCACAATGTATCAATCACCTCTTAAATGAAGCAGGAGAATCTCCTATTGGCTACCAGAATAGAGCCTAATATCACCAAAGAGGAGGCTTATGTACCTCCTTTACTACATATTATAACGTAATCAAAGGAAAGGCAACTATTTCATTACAGGTCTTGCCAACACTGAAGGTGAAGGGTGACAGAGAAACAATTATATAAAACATGTACATCAGGGACTAGGAATCTTGGGGCCATCTTAAAAATTAGCCTACCACAGAAATGCAAATAATCTTGCCTAGAAAAGTACAGATTATATGATTGTAGCCTATAGATACTGACAAATTTCGCTGGTTTACATTCATTTATAAATTATTTTCAGCATCATCTTCTGACCATATGTTTTCTTTCAAATCAGTTATAATATTTTAATACTTTCTCATTAATTAATGAGTTCAGTAAGATATTAGAGGTGTGATGTTCATAGGAGCTGTGATTATATCTTATTTTAGAATTTGGTCTGCAAGGGCAGTGAACAAGCTAAAGTGATGTGCCAAGCAAATGCACACATAGGCCACTGCTTGTCCATTTATGTAAGAGCAGACACCAAACAATCCTGTGCAGATTCCTTTCAAAGTCCATCTGGTCGGCAGTGCACATGGCACAACTTTCACAGCTTGCCCCTGAAAGGCACAGCTGTCTACTGAAATGATCGAGGAATATAACAATGATGGTGGCCCTTGGACATGATAGAAATAGGATAATGGTTCTTCTCTGTCATGTTAAAGCCATGAGAAGAATCCAAAGCAATCAAATGGTTTGGAGACTCAGTGGATTGTTTAAAAAACAGATGTCTAATTATTGTAGTTTCTATCCCTAGGAGATCTCCCTGCACATGAACAGCTCAGGCAATGCTGTTTTCTTTACAGAATAAGATTTTGCTAATAAAATAAAATCCTATTTCTCCTAAGACTATCTTGATTGCTATTTAATCTTTCTTTTTGCTATGTGCTTATACATAGCACTTTGTATATGCATATTTACCAATATTCTCCTTACTTTAGCACAGAGATTAAATCAATCTCTCCTCCCTCACTCGAGATTATGGGTTAAAGGAAGGCACTCAGAAAATACCACAGTTCCCTGTGTAGCACACAGCCCTGCTGCAGCCTCTTCAAATTGCCTCATTTTAGCCTGATAATCACCAAGTGAGAAAGCTATTATTACCCCATTTCCGGTGAGAATAGAGGTTCATAGAAGAAAAGTACTCACCCAAAATTACATAGTAAAAATGAGGCAGCCTTAAAATTTGTTCTCTTTAATATCACACTGTATAGTAAGTACTGGTTGGATTAATTCTAAACATAATAAACATTAAATGTGATTTTGTCTAACATTGAATGTAAAATCAAATTAGCCAAAATGTTCAAATATTCTTTTTTATTGCATTTTCCATCTCATGTTCTCAACTACTATCAACTTAACATTGTACAGAAATTGTATTGTAATGTAAAAAGGGGAGAAATATATTATTTCCTGTTAAATCTGATAGTTAACACCAATTTTGTTTTAAATAACTGGCTGTAACCTGAATGTACAGTCTTTTCCTATTCGTGTATAAGCTTTGCTCAGCTGGAAAGAATACCTTAGGTCTGAAAGTTATTTGTAAGCTTTCAGAATATAATGCATGGAAATGTATTTAATAATGGCTTCCAATGTCAACAATAGGAAATTTTGTCATTTTTCATTGTTTTATTTTAATAAGAATGTTTTAACATTTACTAGTCAAAGCTAATAATAGAATGAAATTCAAACTTAAAGATACAAAAACAAGCAGACATAAATGTACACTTCAGCCGTCATGTTAGGAATATCAGTGAGCCAGAATACAAAATTCATATTCTTTTTTTAATTTGTTTTTGTTTTCATGGTCTCACTATGCAGCTCGGACTCATAGTGATCCTGCTGATTTCTGCCTCCCTAGTGTTGGGATTACAGGCATGTGCCATCATTCCTAGACTCCATCACTGCTCAGTCACCTGGGGGCAGCGCTGGTACAGCATGTGGGGCCAGGGATCAAACCCTGGCCCTTGGGCCTACCTAAGCAATCGCTTACTCCACTGAGCTGTATCACCAACCCTGAAATTCATATTCTTAAATCTGCTTAAAAAGCATGACTTGAGGGCTGAGGTTACAGTCCACTGGCAGAGCATGTGCATGGCATGTACCAAGGCCTGGGTCCAATCCCAAGGGCACAAGCAAACAGAAAGGCCAGACTCGATGATCTAAAGCCTCAGAAATGGTACACTGATTTGACTTTTCCATTTTCTGCCGGGTAGATTTCCAGATATTTCTCTCTCAAAAAGAGTCATTCTCTAATATATTTTTATACATTATTTACTATGCAATACTAAGAATATTAAAATTACTAAAATTAATACTAAATAGTTACTAAAATATTAAATATGTTTCAGCTGCATAAAAAGGTGTATTTAACTGCAAATTGCTTTCCTTAATTGTTCTTAGTCTGTGTCTGCTCTAATTATCAACTTCAAAATTTCAGAATTATTAAAAAATTATTTATTTCAAATTGTGAATAGTAGCTAATTTAAATTTATGATATGGAATTCTGTTCAATTGTATTGAGAAGTAATCTCCCATCAGTGAACTCTAAATATTATCTATTTTATCAATATTCTAAGATAAGTCACCCTTTGTTACCTCCAAAGTTTTCAAATCACTTGGAAAACCTTTTCCTGACTGCAGGGTCTCTATAGAAATAAGTATCTTACAGAACTAAAGAATTAAGTCATGCTCAGGCATTGTTATACTATTTCACTTTATGAAGCAGAAAGAATGGATGGTTACATCTTCTATTGCTCTATCATCCTTTGGCCTCTGTCTTCACCAATGGGACATAACAGAGGCAAGCTATTTTAGTGTAGAATGGGCCTTTTGCTGTAAACTTGTAGGCATGATTCAAAGTGTCTTACCAACTGTAGCACACTGAAAATAATTGAAACTAGCTGCTTCTGGTTTGTCCACACCAGGCTTGCTATGGGGACACACTCCAGACCATACCTGCACTCTCCACTGACCATGATACCCGCATGGCAAAGAGGAATGAACCCTCAAAGGATTTAGAGCATATTTCTAAATAAAGATCAAAATGTGAACTAAGATTTAGACCTCTCTATGTCTAAAATAGCATTTCCTAATGATGTGAAGCAGAGAACTACTGATCCAAGGATTGTAATGACTAAGCGACATCCACCTGACTCTGCTTGTACACGCTTAAAATGTTCACTGGGACAAAGTGATACAGCTTTAAGAATTTTGATTGATGATTATTAGCACTCAATTTTCCCATTTTCATGAAGGACTAAATAATAGACCCCCTTCAAGCAGTATATTTTAAAGTTCTTAAAAGTTTTTATTTGGTAGATGCCAATTTAATAGCAGAACTGAACATAACAGAATAATCTTCCTTGTTTATTTTCAGTTGTGACATATGATTAAATAAATATAAAATTATATAAGGTCATCCAGAAGAGATTTTCCAGGTTTCACATTAAAAATACCAATTTTCTGATAACAGATAAAAATTATACTGAGACTTTTAAAAACATTTTAGATTATTTATAGGTTAAACACACCCATGCATATGTAAAACAAGGAAATCATATAATTAAGCTAAACAAAAATACACAATGATAAATTTAACCTCTTAAAGACATTTTAGATAATATTTGGGTTTTTTATTATAAGTAGTTCAAATATTCTAATAATACACTAATATACACTCTTTTACTCTACATATTCAGAATACTTCTCCTGGTGCCTGTTCTGGAATTACCTGTATTGTTTTCTCATATCGTGCCCAACCGTGTTGGTCTCCCAAATCTTAGTAGCCAGGACTCTGACAGTATTAAGAAACAGAATGAAATTCAACTGAAAGAGAAGAAAATATTATAAATTATTAGTCTTCAAGATGTTTATGGAAATTTACACTACGCAAAGACTGAAGATTACCAATTCCATAAATGTGAATGGGAGAATCTTAGATAAGACACTGAAATATTACTTATTCTTGATTGTTTTCACTGAAACACAAAGATTAAAAAAGAAAAAATTCAACCCTACAAACTAGAAATCCAAGAATAATCAGCCAGGATCCAATTGCCAAACCAGAATTCAAATGAAACCCTGAGGCAGAACTAGCAGGACAAGAAATAATACTTATCATAAAAATATAATTATATAAATGCCCTTTTTAAATTGAATTGATACCTAGCTTCTGTCTGTATTTTCAGTGAGAGAACAAATAACGTCACTTGGGGATTTCACCTATGACGTATGAAAGGTATCTTAAGATGTATATTAAGATTTAAAACAAAAAAAAAAGATGCTGTATAGGAAAATACCTGCCATAGTGTAAGGTATTAAACAGAATTTGGCATGTTACAGGTATGTCACACAAAAAACAACATAGTTCTGTTTTTAAAAGGTAGAGCCAGGAGCATTAGTGGGGTGAGTCTTTTTTTTTTCAAGGATCAAAATGGTAAGTGAAGAAATCCACCATGAAGAAGAAAGAAAAGGGGCTGGGAATATAGCTCAGTGAGGGGAGGAGGAGGAGAAGGTAGAGGGGGAGGAGGAAGAAGAGGAGGAGGAAGAAGGAGGAGGAGGAGAAGGTAGAAGGGGAAGAGAAGGAGGAGGAGAAAGAAGAAGGAGGAGGAGAAGGACAAGGAGGAAGAAGAAGGAAGAAGAAGGAGGAGAAGGAAGAGGAGGAAGGAGGAGAAGGATGAGGAGGAAGAAGGAAGAGAACAAAGAAGGAGGAGGAAGTGGAGGAGGAGGAGGAGGAGGAGGAAGAAGAAGAAGGAGAAGAGTGAGGAGCAATAAGAAGGAAGAGAAGGAGGAGAAGGAAGCAGTCAGGTGTCAGTGCCAGAGCAGGACTCAGAAAAGAAGAGGCATCAATCAGGTTCTGCAGTCCCAGTGATAACCAGTCCTGCTGACACTTCAACATTTCTGGAGTTCGGAGAATTCCTGGTTACTGGATAATTTTATGTGCCTGAGTCATCAGTTCAGCAGATTGTTTGTATCAACTACAAATCCTCTGCTAACCTATTTATTTCGTTCTACCATTGACTGCACTATAAGCATCCCTGAACAATTTCACAATTTGTGAGCTGGTAGAAAAGGTATGTCTAAGCTAATCATAGCTGCCATTTCTTGGAATACTATCTAAATCCCACATGAATATTGAATAGACATTTTTCTTATGTCCATTTATTATGTATTTTAAAAATTCCAGTTCAAAGAGATTAAGTGATTTGGCCTGGGTGAATCAGCTGAAATCTGAACCAGGTCTTTGTGAGTTCATACTGTGAATTCTTAATAATGGTCTTATCTTGCCCTTCCATATAGACAAAAAGATGCAAAACATGAGAGCTGAGGATTTCTATCTGTCCCTCCTACATCATGCTGCCTACACAGACAGCCTTTTTCAAGAAGGTGAAACCTTGTTCATCTACCACATTCTGAATGGCTCAATTTGATTCCTGCCCATGAATAACTGCCCCTAAGAGGGACACAGGGCACGTGGTGTGTACAGTCTGCCAAGATGGATGCACAACCTCATGTAAAGGACAGTGAGGTGTGCACTGAAGCTGGAAGAGCTTGGGAGCAGGTGGGCTGGAGGTGTCATTCTCCATTCCCTATTTCCTAAAAAGGAGGAGTTGTAAATGGCTCCAGATGAGCCAGCCTTCAGTTCCAGCCCACTAAAATTCCCAGAACCAAAGACTCTGTCCTCAGATCAGGAGACCACAAATACTAAAAATACCTAGAAATTTGACTGGAGGAGATACAAATTAAATAATCCAACTGTTTAATAACTGAGAAGACAAACTTAAGGACAGTCAAATAGATTTCAGAAATAAGAAAAATTAACTTTGAACAGAACTGGCTGTCTTTTTTTTTCCATAATTTTATTGAAACACAAATAGCAATGAGACAGTTTCAAATCTAACTGGTAGGTCAGTTTCAATAATTAACACATTGCATACATTCTTCCTAGTGGTTAATTGCTGTGCAAGATGCAGACATGATATCCTATTTACAAACACCTTTAGAACGAATCCCTCTATTCATTAAGAGAATGTAACTATATATCTATCCTAACCACTTTGAATACACAGATACAAAATGGACATTCATCTGTATCCCCTTTTTTTGTTAAGTTCCATCATTTAAATATTATAGGTGTGTAAACTCAGCAAAATATTCTAAGAGTTCAGTAGTCCATAATAATATTGGGTCTTCTGCTTCACTGGCAATGTCAGAAATTGTTGACCTGAGTCCCCTACAGCTCAACATAACACCAACATTTTGGCCCTAGCCTTCCAAGAACTGGCTGTCTTGAGACTGACAAAATACACATTTGCATATATATATATATATATATATATATATATAGTTGGATAAAATTCTAAATTATAATTTTGTATAACTTAGGAAAATATAGGATATAGGGCAATAAAAAAGTAAGCTATTGGCTACTAAATATTGTAAATGTTTTAAATGAATTGATTCTTTAGTCTTCACAACAATGGTACAAGACAATTATGTTATTGTCCTCGTTTGTAAAATGAGGCACAGGTTATATAAATTATAGTCAACAACACACCTAGCAAGTGTCAGATTGCCAATGCATCCCATGTAGCCTGCATTCCCGGTGTGCAATTTTACACACTTCATAATTCTGTTCATCACACAGAATAGCCTTGATAGTTGATTGTGGCATAAGATGGAATACTTGGGAGGACATTTAAGGAATCCTCACAGATGGATGGAAAAGGACAAAGACCTGTGTGGGGTAGAGTGAAAGGCTTACATAGGATGCACAGAATTGAGAGTCAACATGCAGAATATTCTTTTTCTGAAGGAAAGATTGGGACAAATAGGACAAATCAGTAAAGAAGTAAGAGGAAAGTACTCTATAAAAGAAAGACTCAGGGCCAGCGAAATAGCTCAGCAGATTAAAGCACCTGCAAGCAGGCACAGCGGGTAGGGGTTTGACCCCCAAGCCTACCGTGTTGGCCCCACCCCTGGGGTGCACTGAGATGGCAATTGAGACTGGACATGGTGGCACATGCCTGTAATCCCAGCTCTTGGGAGGCTGTAAACAGGTGGATCACTACAACTCTAGTCTAGCAGTGAGACCCTGAACACCCTGTAGGCCCTTCCCCAAAAATACAAAAAAAAAAAAAGACTCTACAGATGGAAAAGTAACACAAAATATTAGGCAAGAGGAATAAATGAGGGGGCCAGGGAGATAGCTCAGCAGCACAAGCGCAAGGTCCTGAGTTTGATCCCAGGCACCAAAAGAAAGGTGGGGGGAGGAATAAAAAAGAACAAGAACAAGAAAATATGTCTATCATCATTATTCTATAATTTTATTATTATTATTATTATTATTATAAGGGAAAGTCATTAGCACCCCTTCACATATCCACCTTCAAATTCTACTTCAAAAGAAGTTCAGAGAAAATGGAAGAAAAACAGAGGAGGTATGGTAGTAATCATACCACTAGTCAGTATTAAAGTCAGTAACAGAGTCAATTTTTCACAAATATAGAAGGTGCATTCTTTCTGAAAGACAAATAAATTCAAAGACTTATTTCAAAACTGACCACAATGAATTCAACTGAGAGCTCAAAATTTCAGCCAGGAACCTCTGAGACTACCCTACAGTTTCCCTGGCCTGGCTCCTTCTGGCCACTCCCCACTTCCATGTTCTCACCAGATCAGCTCAGTCTCAGGCTCCGGGCTAAACATCATGTTTTTTCAGCAAGCTTTTCCTGACACCTGCTAACCCAAACACAGCACTGGACATGCTGCAGTGTTTGCTTTGCCTATTACAGTTAGGCTGTGTGAGGAGAATTTGGTGTTCATCTGCCCCATCTGGCATCTCCGTTGCCTCACACTGTGTCTGCCGCATTTTTAATGTTTAGTTAAGACTTGTTCAATGAGTGGATGAAAGAACGAATGAACGAACAAATGAATGAATGAATGAATGAATGAATGAATGAATGAATGAATGAGATATGCCTGATCTTATATTGGAGAAAATCAGCAGCTCTGCCTGCATACATGCCTTCCTTGGGGTCTCTCACAAAAGACATAATGAGAAAAAAAAATCAAAATTTAGATATAGGAAAGCTGACAGTTAAAAAGATCTATGAAGCCACCTTTCCACATTTGAAATGTTCACTGTGGGAGACCAGATAGGAAGATTAAGGCCCAACTGGCCCCTTCTGTGAGCACTAGGGGAAAAGGCGGTGTGAGTGCATGCGCCATGCTATAGGAAAGTTGATATAGCTGAGATCTGTTGCTTACCCAGATGTGTACCATGCACAGTGGAGGAAAATGAATCCTGCACTGCTCTAATTGCCTGTACTCATGTCTCAGTGGATAAAGGGAGGGTACACCAGTTACTTAGGGCTCTTTGTAGAAGGGACACAAGAGCCTCCTGGCTCCCCAAATTTTAACCTAATTCTGTGTCTCTTTCTTGTCATCTTCACCACCCTCGGTCAGGTACAAGCTTGTAGGCTGGATGCCACGTTCATCAATGCCTTTGAATACACACTAGAAGAAGTATCTTCTCCCTGGCCCTGATCTTACTTTTCAAGGGAAGGGTTTCAACTGATATCCACTTTTTTCTTGTCCTCTTCCTTATCTTTTCCCCATCCTTGGAGGAAACAGGTGTATTTGATGAGTAAATAAGGAAAGAGATGCCAAGAGTGTGTGGGGCAGTGTCTACTCCTTTCCTTCACAGACCTGCAGTGAGCAGACTGTCCTTCAGAATCCTGTCCCTGTATACTGGATTAGAAAGAGCCCACTGATTATGGACATCTTCAGCCACTTGGCTGACAAATGTAAAGTCACATCCTCCA